AGGTCATCTGCCATTGAACTCTAGGAAGTGTTGGGGAGTGGGTGTGTGATGCTGTCCACCACCGTGCATTCTGAGATGCATAGACACATTCTGATGTGTCTCATCTAGACTGTGTAAGCCTTGTGGGCACACACTCTTATCTCTTCTCCACAGTGAAGGGTTGAATCTTGCCTTGAACCTCTGAGTACCTGTATGTCTGCTGGGAGTTAGTCTTTCTCAGCTTCCGCAAATAGTTTGTTCCCTAACTGTGAATGATGATTCTGCTGTGTTTAAAATAGATGTAATTTTGTGAAACAGAAGTTCCATAAGAAAAATTCCAAAAGATTGACAGATTATAAATGGGCATTGCGATGCCCAAGTGATGTGAGATGCAGCAATGGAGACAGGGTGAGCAAGTAGCATTTGTTAGACGTTTTTAGAATGCCACAAGGTAGAGTTCAGTTAAGTCACATCACTGCATTGCTTGCTTTCTTCATTCGCTGTGACGAATGCCTGGCAAAGGCAACTCTAGGAAGGGAAGGGTTATTTTGCCTCACAGTTTGAGGCCACAGCCCATTATGTTGGACTCGTCCTAGGAGCAGTAATGTGAGGTGACGGTCATGCTGTGTCCACAATCAAGAAATGGAAAGAGATGGTGCTCGGTTTGCTTTTGCCTTTTGATTCAGTCCAGGACCCCATTCCATGATAGCACCAGTTATATTCAAGGTGGGTCTTCCCACCTCTGTCAAAACTCTCTGGAAGCACCCTCACAGTCTTGCCCAGGAGTGTGTCTCTTGGCGATTCCAAGTACATCCAAGTGGACAATAATTAATCAATCACACTTACTTTGCATATAAACTTTTATAGAATAAAACATTCATACAGTCTTGTGTCAATCATTGATGATGGGGAGACTGTATTGTGTCAATTGGTGATGATGGAGATAGTCTTGAGTCAGTCACTGATGAGTATACATTCTGCGAAACATCCCACAGTACAGTACATGAACACATGTTCAGATGGTGTTGGTCAATGGCTTGAGGTGACCTCTTAATGCAGTCAAGAAACACGAGAAACAAGATTGTCTTAGTGGTCTATTACTGTGAAGAGACACCAGAGCATTTAATTGAGGCTTGCTTACAGTTTCAGAGACTTAGTCCATTATTATCATGGTAGGGAGAATGGTGGCAGGCAGGCAAGCATGGTACTGGAGAAGTAGCTGAGAGTTTTGTATGCTAAGAGCTCTATACCTTGATCTACTGTCAGCAGGAAGTGAGAGAGACAGACAGAGATACACACACACACAGAGAGAGAGAGAGAGAGAGAGAGAGAGAGAGAGAGATCAGGGGTAATGGGTACAAAGCCCAAGCCCAGTGACACACCTTCTCTAACAAGGCCATGACTATTCCAGGAAGGTCATACCTCCTGATCCATCTTAGTCTGGGGGCTAAGTATGCAAATAGGTGAACCTGTGAGGTCAATCTCATTCAAGCAACCACATTCCACACCTTGTTCCCATAAGGTTATATCATAATGTAAAATGCATCTAGTACAACTTAAATGTCCCCATAGTCTTTCACAGTCTTGATACTAAATGTCCAGAGTCTCTTCTGCAAGCCAAGGCAATCTCTTAACTGTAACCCCCTATAAAATAAAAATAGAAAAGAAGATCATATACTTCCAACATACAATGGCACAGAACATGCATTACTATTCCAAAAGGAAGGAAAGGGGCATAGGGAGGAAATACTAGACCAAAGCAAGACAGAAACTCGACGGGGAAATCTCCAAATTCTGCATCTCCATATTTGATGTCAAAGTACTCTCCAGCCCCCCTTTCGGCTTTGTTGACTGCAACACCCTTCTCTCTCTCGAGCTGGTTCCAAGCTTGGCCTGCAGCTTTCCTAGCAAGACTTCCCATATTTCTGGCATATTTAACTCTCCAACATAATCCAGGATTCACCTTCACAGTTTCAGGCAATGGTCTTTCTGGACCTCCATGGAGGGGCACCCCTATCACAAACCTGGCCTCAGTGGCTTTCCTTAACTGTGCAGTGAGATTCAAAAACCCTTTTCTTATATCCTTCTTGACTTTAAATGCAGAACCACTTGGTTAAAGGGGCCAAGAGATGCTTGCTAGGGCTGGACTTGGCCCCTCCTCAGATTACATTTGCATCCGTTTTCTTTGTTGATGGTTTCTTTCACTGTTTAAGCTTTCCTTTGGTTCCTTTTCACAGTTTGAAAGCTTAACAGGGTAATGTCTTGCCCAGAGGTTACTATTCCCTTTATTCCATATAACATCAGGCATTTCTTTAATGTTTTATCCTTATGAACACAGGACTTGGCTCCAGCATTACATATCCTGGTGTTCTTTTTCTCTTCAAATGGCACATTTGTCTTTTTCTTTGCTCTGGTTGCACCTTTTCACTGTAGATCTGCATAAGGGTTACCACTAATTATCATGTGACATGGCCAATACTAGGACAAGGCTGCTGCCAGGTCACACCTCATGCCTTGCTACTCACTGAAAGCCTTGTTTTTTTGTAACTTGGAAAAGTATGCACACAGGAAGTGGTTAAACCAATTGGCCTGGTAGATCATGAGTCTGGCATGTGTCATGTATCATCAGTAAATGGTCCAACACTGATGGCATTCTACCAAGGGTGTATAGGAAGACATTGGTTACAAAGCTGGAATCTGGAAGGAAGCCCACATAGCATCTTCAGTGGCAGTAAGACAGATACCCACACATGCAGTGCTCTTGTTTAGCTGTGATTGGAGCCACATGCATGCTTAGTTTCCCTCCGGAGTCCTGAGGCTCTGATACTAACAGGGTGTGGCCCACTATATCCTTGCATTTAGTGAACAGACTGAGTCTCGCTCGTGCAAACCAGCTCCTTGTTTTATTTTTTTTATTTCATGTTCATTGGCATTTTGCCTCCATTTATGTCTGTGTGAGAGTGTCAGATCCCCTAGAACTGGCATTACAGACAATTGTGAGCTGCCACGAGGGTGCTGGGAATTGAACCCAGGTCCTCTGAAAGAAAAGCTAGTGCTCCTTACCACGGAGCCACCTCTCCAGTCCCATTATCTTTACAAATAGTACTAAGTCACTCATCTCAAATCATGTCAGTTGAGTACTTGTAAGTAACTGGGTACATTTATCGGACTTTAGTGTTTGGGTGAAGGCTACACCCCAGCCTCTGGCATCCATCTATCCAAAAAGTCTAGAATATCCAGGTGGAAATTCCACTCCAAGCCTCTTCCTCTGGGAGCTGCCTCAGTCCAGACTCTACCCCGAGAAATGATGACCCCTCCCCTGAGAGACTCAAGACCACTCCCAAAGGGTATTTTAACTGCTCCCCAGAGAACAAACACGTGGTTTTCCAGTCTTCCTCTGGGAAACTGGAAAGCTATCCAGAAGCGTTGGTATCCATTAAACCTGGACTTTTTCTTATTCAGTTTAATTTGGTCTGATTCAGATTATCACATCAGAGGAGAGGCTTCTCAGGGTGTGGAAACTTTTTACTTAGTACCAACTGCATTTCCAAAGCATACATCCCCACAGTCCTGAGAAAAACCCGACGAGGAAGGGCAGGCAGGTGGCGATCCATCTGCGAGGACCAGCTTTGGAACCCTACACACAGGAGGGAAGCTGTGTTGACACCTTTGTATTAACCAAAGAGGATAAAACACAAATCCTAAGAGATAGAATCTTGGTTCTGTCACTCATAGCTTCTTCCTGAATCAGGACACTCACCAGAACCTTCATGTTGTATTCTGCCTGTTGCTGCTATTTAACTTCACAGAACTGCTGTTCGGAGAGCAAGGAAAATGACACCATGGGTCCTAATGCTGTTTGCCTAGAACAGGCGATCCCCACTGGTTTTCTTCTCTCTGACCTGCAGTGTTTTCTCTCTCTGAGATGCATGCCAGGGTGTGCTTCTCCCCTTAAAGAGGCAGCCATCTGAGCAGCCCTGTTCACTGTAATTATATATACACTTGAATTTGGGGCTCTAGTGAGTGAGTTTCATAGTTTCACATACAAACACTACACCCTATTCATTTGACATCGAGAAAAACACAAATACTCACTAAATGAGCTAAAAAACCAGATGTGTATGGACAGGTTTGTAGGTTTGGTTTCAATCATTCAAACAGAAATGATTTAAGTAAAAAAGATGAGTTACATAATTCTAAAAGTAATGTCGTGTCAAATACGCACCATGAAGACACACTAGTGGTCTCTGTAGAGAAACTTGAGATTCTGTGTATGGTCTGGCATGTTATAACTACATAGGCAAGGCACTTTGGTAGATTGTCTGCAAAGACAAGCACCCAGGTCAGAGCAGAGATGCGGGTGGAAGTAAGAGGTGATGTCTTGTCATGGTTCTCTTTATCACTGCAAATTTTCAACAAAATGTGCATTGCTGCTATGATATTTCATTTTAAAATGCTTTACACAACATCTTCAGTTTTTACCTTTTAAAATTGTAGCTTACTTTATTCAAAGATGGGTTTCAGTGTAGCTGGTAAAGGAAGCTTTTAGTTCTAGGCCTGGCTGTGGGACTTTAGATCCTGTTTCTTGTTATGGAGGGCCGATTGGTAGCTGGACCCTGTGCCTCAGAAGATAGTGAAAACTGCGAGGGCCTGGCTCCAGGAAACATAGGTTCTACTGAAGAAGAAGAGAAGGAGGAGAAGGAGGAGGAGGAGGAAGATAAGGAGGAAGGAGAGGAGAAGGGCATTCAATGCATCTAAAATCAGTACAAAATATAGCTGTGGTCACCAGAGACAGAGCATGTCATGGGGCATGCATTAAAAGGCTCTTAAGTTCACCTGAGATTGCCTGTCTGCTACATACAGAATATGGACATAGCATCAACTCCTTGCCTCCAACGCCCACACTCTCTGTAGTGTTTTGATCAATGCTAGTTTATCTAGTCTTAGTGGAGTTCCCCACTGTTTCTCAGTGTAACCCTGAGAGGCCGGAATGACTGACAGGTCTGTGTTATCTCTTGCAGTTTTCAGTGAAGAGCCCCACTCCAGCCTCTACTTTGTCAATGCATCGCTGCAAGAGGTAGTCTTTGCAAGCACGTCGGGGACGCTGGTGCCCTGCCCGGCTGCAGGCATCCCTCCTGTGACTCTCAGATGGTACCTAGCAACGGGCGAGGAGATCTACGATGTCCCCGGGATCCGCCACGTCCATCCCAACGGCACTCTCCAAATTTTCCCCTTCCCTCCTTCAAGCTTCAGCACCTTAATCCATGATAATACTTACTATTGCACAGCTGAAAACCCTTCAGGGAAAATTAGAAGTCAGGATGTCCACATCAAGGCTGGTGAGTACCCCTCTTCTTTGGGTCTACTTGGAAGGGAGGGCCTGGGGACCTCATCAGCTCATGTGGTTACTGCTGATGCAGGTGGTTGCAGTATTCTGTCACTAGATTTTAGTGTCCTGGAGCGCTGGGACTAAATCTAGAAAAAAAATGTTTTGTGCACAGAGAAAGAAGGCTCTGTGTATAGGAGTGCCTGCCGTGCAAACATTAGGACCTACGTGTGTATTCTACCACCAACACACAAATAAAAAGGCCAGATATGGGGTTATTACTATAACCCCAGCACTGAGAAGGGTGGAGACAGAGGATTTCTGTAGTTTTATGGCTGTCAGCCTAGCTCTGGGTCCGTAGCACTGTGAGGCGTGGAGACAGAGGATTTATGATTTTATGGCTGTCAGCCTAGCTCCAGGTTCACAGCACTGTGAAACATGGAGACAGGATGGTCTCTGTGGTTTCATGGATGCCAGCTTAGCTCAGGGTTCACAGAGAGGCCCTGTTGCATGAGGAATAAGGTAGAAAGTGCCAAAGCAGGACCTGATGCCTACCGCTGACCTTTGCCATGACTGCATGTATGCAAACACTTATGTCCAAATATACACTCGTGCACTCACATGTATCTAATGGTTATCAAGCCCCAAGCCAACTTTATTGTATTTTTACATCATGGTATTTTGACTCGTGTTTTCAGTGCCTCCTCCCTGGGTGTACTTCTATCCATTTTCCTGCTTGTGTATCTCCTATCTCACCTGGGGGAAGAGGAAAGGGAGAGACAGGAGGACACTATTTGAGCAGGAAAGAAAACAGACAACCTAAACGCATGCTGCAATGGAAAGAGAGTTGATGTAATAGTCTCTCTTTCCCTTGATATAAAAAGGCTGTGTTTACCTTCCTGATGGCATACACACTGCTGAAATGTGTCCTTTTAACAACGTATTGTATCTTTTAAAACTCATTCTTGTTACAAAGTCAGCTCTGAGATCCTGACTGGGATTCACAGACCTCAGAGTTGTTCAGCACAGAACAGACCACGACACGACCTTCTAAGGTGTCATCAAAACCCTGCAATGTGCACTCCCAGCTAGGAGAGTCCCGTTAGCAAACAGAATTTGGGTATCTGAAATGGTGGGGTGATGGGGTGGGATGGTGCTCTAATACAAGGAATGACCAGGTGTGATCTTCACAGTTGTCTTGGTCAATGCCAGAAGCTTAATCGTCTACGGTGTCTACAGTGGGTGGGGAGGTGCTGCTGGAAGACTCCAGGGCATGAGTAAAGTCTGTGATGTTTTCAGAAAGTCTGCATGTGATTACTTGGATATAAACAATCATAGGTTCAGCAGTGACTCACACTGCCAACTCCTCAGCTCCTAAACCTGCAAAGAACATACTTAGAAAAAGCAGAAATTGGCTTTAGCCAGGAACTTGGAGCATGATATGTGTCAAATCGCTAAAACAAAGCAAATGGAATTTGGGTAAGGACCCCATAGCCTGACGTCCTGGATGCCTTCGGCAGCTGAGCGTTATAGTGAGGCGCTAAGAGCATTTATTTATAGTCCACAAAATACAACTCTAGAAAGATGTGGAAGTTCAGATAGCTCTCCCTGTGTCTGGATCCATGATTTCTGACTTGGGTTTTCTGACAGACAGTGCTCAATGTTCACTTGTTTGCAGTGTTGGGTGTGTGATTGGCGTATGTACATGTGCATTTGCCCTGACCTTTACATTGGGTGTCTTCCTCAGTCACTGTCCACCTTATTCTATAAGATAGAGTCCCTCAGTGAGCCTGAAGCTCATCTGTTTGAGTAGGCTAGCTGGGAGTGAGCTCCAGGTATCTGCCTGTTTCTGCCCACCCTCTAACCCCAGTACTGGGATTGCAAGGCTGTGTTGCCATGCCCAGCTTTTCCCTGGGCTCTGGGGATCCCAACCCAGGACCTTACGCAGCAAGCACTTGTCACAGAACCAACTGATTGTGCAGCTTTGAAGAGATTGATGTGGCACTAGAGTGCCTGGTGTCCCTTCTGCATTGTTGCATGGTTGCTGTTAGTGACCTTGAAACATGGACACCTGTGTCTCCACGCCATCTTTTCTTATTTAGTTTTGCTTCCTGTTATGAATACATCATGCTTGCCTTAATCCTTTGTTTCTATTCATTTAATTATTCTTCAGTACTGGGGATTGGACTCGGGCACTCTCCCATGCTGAGCCACCCTTCCAGCGCCACTTTAATCTTTAGGTTGTTTATTGAATGCTTGCAAATGCTGCTCCCCTGTCTGTAAAGACAGAGCCACATGTTCCTTCAAGGGCAGATGAGGGAGCATGGTGTCGGCTCTGACTGTGGGGCACAGACTGAAGCTGGAGGCATTCCCTCACCTGTGTCATCTGTCACACCTGTCAATCAGAACTGTCCCTCTAGGCTGATATTGGTGTTATTCTAGAATGACCCATTGGGCCCACATTTATCCTTTTACAGCATGGAGTTCACATTCTCATTAATGTCCAGTCATTTGTTTTATTTAATTTTTAAATTCTTTTAACATTTCATACATGCATATAATGTATTTTGAGAATATTTGCCCCACCGCATTTTTCTCCTTCCAATTTCTCCTGGATGCACCCCGGCATCCGCCTTCATGTCTTTTTTTTCATAACCTACTGAATCCTATTAGTGTTGTCGATATATGGACCTGTCAAGGGTCATCTTCTTCAGCACAGTCAACCTATCACAGACCACACTCTGGAGGAATACCGACTCTTCCCTCCTCAAGTAGCTATCAGCTGCCAAAACCTCCTCAGCTTTAGTGGGGTGGTGGCTATGATCCCCTCCCCTTCCATGCTGAAATGTTAGATGGCTTGATCTTGTGTATGTCAGACAAAGGCAAACGCAGCCACTTTGAGTTTATGAGTGCAACAGACCTGTCCTGTTTTTCCTGGTGCTCTCTGACCTCTGGTTCTTACAGCCTTTGCATGATTTTGATGGAGGCTTAGGTGCCTGAAAGTGGAGACTTTTCTACTCACTGAATGCCTCATCAACTTGCGTTCATAGTTCTAACATAAAGCACTTTTTTGTCCACAGACTGCATGCACATGGGCCACTGTGTGTACAGGCACTAGGTGCACATCGGTGTGTGTCAGTTAGCAAATAGCGTGAGTTGTGGGAAGCTCAGGAAGGTCAAACATGTCCAACTCATGCTTCCTCCTGAGCAAACTGTGGCTAATGGCATTAACTTATGACTGAGGTAAAGTAGCAGGAGCCTTTTATCTGAACCAACAACAAGGCAAACACCTGGAAGGTACAAATATAAAAGCCCACAATTCCCCAGACTGGGACCTGCAGGAGCGAGAATCAACCAGCCTGGGATTGGCTTCTGTAATATCCCATATTTCCTGATGGAGGACACAGAAACACACAGGTAGATACAGGTGTGCAAACAAGAGCTGCGGTAAGAGCTCTGGTCCTTCAAAGGGGACAGACAGCAGTGAAGAGTCTCTTCTGTGTTAACAGTTAACTGGGCTCTTCTGAGTCCTGCCTTCTAAACCAGACTCTACCATGACATGCCGTATCTATTGTCCTAGAGTCATGTTTCAGCAGGAATCCTGCTAAACCATCCCCGGATATTTGATCAAGTTCCTGATCACTGCTACTCTTTCTGTACTTAATACATAAATTTATGGTGTGCCTGTTAGCAAGAATAGTTCAGGAAGAATTTGCCTACCTTTGGTGCCTCTTTGTACTAATTTTATATCATTTAAAATATAATTGAACGTTTAAGCAAAGATGATACTCGTGTCTTATGTGGTATGTAGAAGGGAAATGTCTGACAGCCAGAGCATTAAAACCTAGCATAGAGTCTGGAAAATCTAATAATACAATAATTTTAATAAGTGTGTCATGGCATAATACCACCCAACTAGGGATGGTGATGAGTTAAAGATATATAGTATTAAATATAAAGAAATATTAAAATAACTAACCAGAGAGTTATAGATAATAAGGCAACTAAGAAGGGAAATGGTAGTTTGTTTAAAAAAATGCAGTCTAAAACTTGAGATTGAAGAGATGCTTCAGCAGTTAAAACACTGTTCTTACAGAAGACCTGAGTTCTGTTCTCAACATCCACATGGTAGCTCACAACCAACTATAAAAACCCCTGTTTCAGAGGATCAGATGCCCCCTTTTGGACTCTGGTCACTGCACACACTTGTTACATATCATAAGTGCATGTAAAGCACCCATATATTTAAAAATAAACAAATTTAAACAATATTAAAAAAGAAAGAAGATTGGAAAAACAAAGCATATATAAGTAATCATAAAGGAATCAGAGAGCCCAACAATGAAATAAATGTAAGGATATTCAATGCCAGGGTCACATGTGTTTCAATCACAAGGCAGAGATTGCAAGACTGTATTCAGCACTGTGTAAGAGAAATTTCCTTGAAACAATGACACAGAGAGTTTGTCTCTTGCCTGCTTCTTAACTAAGTACCTGGAATCACAGACTATTTCTCAAAGAGATTTATTTAGCTCACACTTTTGAAGGCTGCAAGTCCAAGATAGGATGGCTGCACCTGGTGAGGGCCACTTAACCTGGTCACAACTGTGGCAGAAAATTAAAGGGGCACTACTCCATGGGCTAGCAAGGAGTTTACATGTCAGGGCCAAGTTTATTATCATAGTGACTTGGTCTCATGGGAACTGACTGGGATCCCACAAAAAGCGCTTGAATTCCTTCTAGAGGCGACACCACTGATAACCCAACCATCCCCCACCATGTGACATCTCATGAAGGTTCTAATGCTTGTCATCGCCGTCACAGTGGGGAGGAAGCTGCTTGAACCTAAACCTTCAGTGGGAACACTTTTGTCATATCCAAGTCACACCAGATAGATTCAAAATAGAAGGGTAGGGGAAATACCATAGTCATCTATGCAAGACCAGGTAAAGCACTGCCAAAAAGACTAGATTTAGTGTTTGTCAAGCAAGTATGTCTTCTAAGAATGACACA